GGACAAATTTGACTACCCCCCCTCTCCCGAAGTTCAAAGGTACAACAATCGGCAATAAACGTGTGCCGGGCAAATGTCATTTTATTCTTTAGTCAGTTTATTGTTTGTGTTTATTGCGACAAGACGTATGAAAAAGTTTTAGTGAATAGTGTGTTATAGCAATTTGTGACGTAATATTATTGAAGAACTGGTTCTCAGTTAAGTGATTTTTGAATATATTATATCTGTGGACTTTGTTGATATTACCTACTTTGGTGCCAGGATTTGCTAATTGGATAATACAGGTAACTAATTAAAACATTAATTATTAATAAATAATTTTTACAAACTGAGTTGTCGTTTGGTTTTGTTTACATGCTATTAGAGCAAGAGAAGAATGTAAATTTCCAGATTTTCTGACAAAGTACTAAGGAATTATAATAGATTAAAGTAAATTCAGAGAACCTATCAATGCTTTAGTGCAAATGAGTTTAATTTTCATTGTGGTTAATTTTTATAAATTTTGTAGATTTAAACTTTGAATACGTAATCGTTTGTTTGTTTTGTTTGAAAAGATGTATTTGTTTCATATTATATTACATAAAAGAAAAAGTGAGTATATAAGATTTGAAACATTATATTGATCGTATAAATTAAGTAAATTAAATAGATAATGGAAAAAATCGCAAAAAACCATAATACACTGTTGATTCACTTTGAGTCGTATATAACATTTCTGGGATAACAGTCAGTTATACTGAATGAATTTTTTTGTTGAATGAATTTGGTCGAGTTTGACAGCTCCTCCTCTAAAGAAAATGCACTAAGAGTGCGTCCATTAATCACGTGATCATTTTTAAGGAATTTTGTACACCCCCTCTTTACCCCTTGGTGATACGTGGTTATATTCAAAATTATCCCCCCTCCCCCACCAAAGATTACGTATATTTTTACTTACAAAAAGAAACTGTAAATTTTTTGTTTATTTAGTGATTGGATTTTTTTTTTTCAAATAAAATCAGATAAAAAATAAATACACGTGATATCTTTCTATACCCCTTCCTCTCCCTTGTGATATTTTGTGATTTTTTAACAAACCCCCCCATTCCCCTAAAAATCTCACGTAAGTTTCATCAAAAGTTCGAGTATTTTATAAGAAGTAAAATAATAAAATAATTATGGTTTCACAATGGAAAAAATTAAATTATGCGGAAACAAAAGTTGTAATTTTAACAAAAAAAAAACAATAATATAATCATAGTTCGCCAATTTCTAAAAACAAGCAAAATAGTTTAATAAAGTTAAATTGTTCATTTCATTTAATTTTTATGAGTACGCTGTTATTTTTAAAAAATTGTTTATTTCATATGGAAAGTAGTTCACATCATAATTATACAGATGTAATCTAGTATATTAATATATTAATGTTTATATAATTTTAATGAAATTATTTGATTTTAACCAAATATTAACATTTTAATTACAAGTAGTATTTGGCTTCTAAGTATATTTAATGTTTTCCAGAATACACCATTTAAATCTCAAATTTTGAATGTTATCACAAATTACATTTTACATCTATATAGTAAAGGTAATTATTAAGATTTGGTAAAATTAATGAATTGTTTTTGAATGTAAGCAAATCTTAAAATAAATAAGGTGCAAAGATTGCTAAATAAATTTGTTATTTATCTGCATAAGAATATATATATATATATATATATATATATATATATATATATATATATATATATATATAATTTCTATTTAGCGAATAAGTTCTTCTACAAAATTCCACAAAGAAGTGCAGCCCACACAGACTTACACAACTTGTGAATTATCTCTCTGCATTTATAATCAATAAACCTTGAACGAATTTTAGCATATTATTCAAATTTTTTACATAATATTGAAATTTGATATTTAAATTTTCTAGTCTGCTTATTCAAAACTGATTCGACAGCATTTTTTCATAGATTGTACGTTGGCGGAGTATGTGATTTGTTATTATAAACAATGCACAATATTTTTATTGCACTAGTTGTTTTGATTGCGTAACTAATAATAGTCCATATAAAGAATTGTGCTATGTATCATAGTCTGTGAAATAAAATAGTGAACACAGAATTTTCGTCAAATGGAGATCAAACCAGTAATTACCAAGCGAAGTATCAGACAGACCCTAAGCGAAGAAGTATCAGACAGACACTAACTTTTTTTTTTAAATTATATAAAACTACTGATAATTTTCTAAACTTTCTTTTTTAACTTCCCTTAGGGCAAGTTATAGTAATCGCAAAACAATCGAAAATGAAAACTTTTATATATCTTTACGTTTCAGAGGTTTCTTAACATTTTGGCATACCTTAGAAAAAATTGATGTATGTGTGTGTGTGTGTGTGTGTGTATGTGCGTGTGTGTATGTATGTGCGGATACAAATTTTCTTCGACGATTTCGGGAACACGGATCAACCGATTTGAATAATTTAAAAAACATTCGATTTATATTGATAAGAAGACGTGCTGATTAGTTTTTGGCGAAGGCAGGTCTAGCCGTTCCGAAGATACGGGGCAAAAAGTGCCGAAAACGGTAACTCAGTTTTTAGGAGAACGAAGCGTCCGATTTGAATAATTCAAAAAACATTCTGCTTGTATTGATAAGATAAAGAATTGATCAAATTTTCATGAAGGCAGGTCTAGCGGTTTCGGAGATCTGACAAAAAAAGTAAAAAAATGCCATTTAGCGGTTAAAAATGAACATTAGACATATGCACTTCAAATTATCAGATATTTTAAAGAGATTTCAACAATAAGTATAAATTTTGTTTACATTCCTATGGGTTCCGTACCAATGTTTACGCGTTAGACGGCGACGCGCTTTGATATTTCGTCTTTATGCAGTAAAAGCAGTAAGATTGCTTTGAAAAAAGTTCAGAATTTCCAAAATATTAAAAAATAAATGATTTAAGATAGAATGATTTAATATGGTTCGAAATTCTATTAAAAGTTTCAAATCATTGAACAACTTTTATTGATTATTGTTATTGATTATTTTTAAGTACTCGAATTTTGAATTGCGGTACGGGATGTTCCAGCAATTTGCCTTAAGGCACGATGCCTTAATTGCTATAAGACAGAATTCCACTTATAGCTAGTTAAAAAAAATATTGTCTTGGCTTGGCCGGCTATGCAGTAGCCTACATGATCGTTAAATGGTTGAAAAATTGATAAGAATTGGATGTATTTTTTCAGTATTTCAGTAGTTAAAGGTTTTAAGTTAGTTGATTGGGAAGAGACGTCTATCTTTCTTTGTGTCTGAATTTTAATATCATCAAACAATCGTAGAGTAATTTTTGCATTACCACTCGGGCAATTTTACCTATAAAAAATGTTATATTTTATAATTGTTTCTTCTACATTAGTCATTGAATAAAAATGTGCCGTCGTTCCTCTTCCTAAGGTGTGCATCGGCATCTCCGTCGGCATCGTCGGCCGCGGTTAGTTTATTTGTTCTGTTGTGTTTTGTGCTGAACGAGATTCCATTCTTTTTTGTTGTTTAACGGTTCATTCATATCTCATATCTGGGTCAAATTATAATATGTTACGAAGCCGTGTCAATTTGTGGTAAACGCGTACATTTTTTTATAGAGGACATACCTATTTGTGTTATTACTTTTTGCTATTTGTCTCTGCGATGTTAAAGTTAATGGCGTCAATATTTATAGGTTTTGTATAAATGCATTATTATAACATAAACATAATGATTAGTTACCTTGACAAGTCAATAAAATTAATTTATATTGAACAGGATGAATTTGTTTATTATAGATGCTTTACCTTGATGTAACATAGTCGATACACGAGTGTCCAAACCTCATAAGATTCTAAAGAATTATAAGTCCATACATACTTTTTGTATCTTAACAATTTTCTCTGCATAGTTTATTTTACTACAAAAACAATTTAAAACTAGTGGGGTGTATGGCATCGTCCCTTAACGCAAATTGCCGGAACTTCCCGTAACGTAACGGAATGTTCGAGGAATACTGAATGTTTTCTAATAAAGTATTATAAGTACTGTAACATTGTCTAATATTTATAAAAATTATATAAACGGAATTGCAAAGTTGAAATTATTTGTTTAAAGTATATTAGAACTTCAGTCAGAATTAAAAATAAAATCTGATTTATTTTCGATATACAAAAATAATTTTTGAAACAAATTTTTTTTCTGAAATCAATTATTTTGTTAAAACAAGCAGAAAGTTTTTTGAATTATTTAAATCGGACGCTTAGTTCTCTCAAAAACTGCCATTTATCCAAAACAGTATCTTCAAAATGGCTGGGACTACCTTTGCCAAAAATCAACAACCACTTCTCTCAATCATTACTAATTGAATGATTTTTAGATTATTCAAATCGGATACTCCGTTCTCTCAAAAACTCGATTTCTATTTTTTGCACTCTTTGCTCTTTATCTCCGTAACTGCTGGACCTGCCTTTGCCAAAAACTAATCAGCACATCTACCTATCAAAATGAATCGAATGTTTTTTGAACCATTCAAATCGGTTGATCCGTGCGCCCGAAAATGTGACTGAAAATTTGTATCCATACATACATACACACATATCCATTTTTTCTGAGGTATGCCAAAATGTTCCGAAACCTTCAAAACGTCGAGAAATATAAAAAATTTCAACTTCGATTTCTTGACGATTACAATAACTTACCCTACGCGAAGTTAATATATTAACAATAAATAAATATTTTTTTTATTACTTTTTTATTAATACCAAATTACAAGAAAATATTCTCTACATCTACATCCTAAAATAAACATTTTGATATAAATGCAATACTAAATTTTCTACATACAAAGACTTCTCTTTGACTTGACTACAATAAATGCCAAGCGATGAATCTTATTCAATCATTACAAAAATATATGAAAATGGTCTTAAATTTTTACATCACAAAAGGGAACTAAAAAAATGAGTTGGCACATGTAATTCAACTTCTACTACCGTCTTTGTATATCGACTTTGCTATCCCCGAAGAAACCTAAAGCAGCCAAAGCTGAGTTACTTCTTTTAATAAGTTTCTCTTTATACCTCCAAATAGTCGTGTCTTCAATGCTATGTTCGCTGTATTCAGCACAATTTTGCATACCATTTACACAATCTGCTCGATAGTGCTGCATTTGGGCATCTGCAGTCTCAATCGGGTAAGAGCTGCAGGCTCCTCCAATGCAAGCAAAAGGATAATGATTGTGTAAAGTCAGAACTCTTTCTGGATTGTGGAAACATTTTACATATTGACCTGGTTTGGTAAAGTTTTGGGATCTGTGCACATGCTGCAGCATATGCAAGTATTTGGGAATGTCCTTATACCAGCCATGCCCATGCAAGTGTTTGTCTAAGAAATACACATTCCTGACGTCATAACTGGCTCTGGTTCTCTTTCTTCTTCTTATCATAGATTTTGGACGTATCCTCAACATTAGGTCTTTCCAATTGGCATCTTTAACAGGCATGATTACTTCATCAATATCCAACAAGGCTATGTACTTATATTTGTATAAATTTTTGTACAGGCAGTCATTGTAAGGTATGACTTCATTTTGACGCTTGGTATTTGTCTTCTTTGTCAAGTACAAATGTTGAAATCCTGGAATGTTGGGTTGACTACCTGGCAAAGTCAATGGAGTAACATGGATCATATCCCTGTTTTCATAATATTTCAAAACTTTGGAAATATTCGGATGAACCTGCAATTCGTAAAAATAAATCTTCTCAGCTCCTAAAATGTTCAGCAACTCAATCCATTCCACAAGATGTACAGATAAATCTTCATAAAGAAAATCTAATCCTTTTACACAAACTGCAAATCCTTTTTTCTTGACAGGCTTATCGTACAGAACATTTAAGTTATTGGTGGCATTATCACAAGGTGTCTCAACAACTGAAACTGAAGCTGGTATTCGACCATGATATTTAACTGGTATTTTACACGTCATCAAGTAAGGCTGGTAAATATTTTGTTTGTAGTTGCCAAAAGCTTTGTTCCAAATATATTTGTATTCAAACAACTTTGCGAATACAGGAGTCTGCTGATCAGCAAACCAGAATTGACAATAAGTGATTATAGTAGGCTCTATCCTATCGATCATACCCAAAATTCTAACAGATGGTCCAATTAAACTTTTTCGTCTCGCATCATAGTACGCATTGTACAACTGGAACGTACCATTGGACGTCTTCAAAGTCTGCCAATTAATATTATTAAACTCCAAATCAAACACCGAAGGATACCTAGCACACGTTGCATTTTTATACAAAGGCTTGGTCTGTATCGTTGCATTCAAAGACCACAGAGGCAAACTTGGCAATCGAATCTGCACATCCTTTAGTAAATCTTCCATGTTCATTTTTTTCCTGGTGTCTACCAAAACTGATACTTCAGTCGTTCTAGCTGAAGTGACTGGCACTTCAGTCGTTATTAGATTCGTGTGCATCAGTTGGAGCGCTACAAATATCAGGAAGCTACAGGATAAAATGACGGGCAGGGCTTTGCAAATCCATCGCATGGAGAACGATGCCATTCCATGTGGTTTCTCCAAAATTAGTTCAATGTTCTCCAATTTTATACCAATGAATCTGATCTTCCATCTATGTAATCCAAATCGTTGTTTCTCCATTATTCTTCGAAAATGGTTGGAAAATTTAAATTGATTGTTTTGTCTGGAATCTTTGCTCATTTTCAAATTGTTGTAAAAATGTAGTATAAAATATACAAATTTTATAAAAGTTATACCAAACGTTTTCTTTTACCAAAAGTATCACTAAACTTTTCCTTTTTGACAAGTAACAAAGTGAAGTTTGCAAAATAACTCGTCAACAGTATAAGCATAATTATGTGTAATTTTTTTTTTCATCCAGAAAGTTAGTAAATTTTGTGTTTTTAAATTAGTATTTTAAAATTAATTATTTATTAATAATAATAATAGTTATATGATTATGTAAAAAGTTAAAAAAAATATCATTTTGCTTTCTTTTGTTTTGACAGCATGTAATCAGTCATGTCTAAATAAAATATTTTCATGTTGGTAACAGCACTGTGTAAGTACGAAGTTCACTTGTGTAAAAAAAGCTAATATTAATAAATTCAGATCTTTTTCATACAAAAAATCGTTTTTTTTATTTTTTATGTAATAATACATTGTTATACGATCTACTAAAATAGGTTTAAATATAAAAAATCATAAAATTTTTTAAAGGTGGGCTGCGCGCTTGTTGATTTTTTTTATTAGTTTTATTACTGAACATTCAAGTATATGATAAATTCAATTACTACAATTACATATTGTTTTTTCCTATTCGTGATGATTGACAATTAGAAGGCAACCCTATGGTTGTTCTATTCCATTTTTTTGTAAACATTGATTAGGACGCAATCCCATGGATTTAATTTAATCTAACGATATTTCATATAAATTTTTTCTTATGTCAATATCTGATTTCTATTGTCTTTTGAAATTCTGTATATCTGATTGCTAAATATAAAATAAAAATTTAAAAAAATTATACAAGATGAGGGAAATTAAAATGATGAGTTTAACTTGTATTTTTAGTAGTTTTAAAATATTTTTACAACGCAACGAGAATGAAGCAAGGTGAGATGAAATACTATAAAAATTATTGCTATAAAACATTTTATGAGCCTTTTGAATATTTTAATAAATTTTTGATTATGCATAAAAAACTACGTTAAATGGACAATGCAGATATAAAAAAACATCTTTTGCTTTAACGCCATTATTTTTTATATTATCTAAAACCTGTTCGAATGATGGTTTTTAATTCCACACTTTGGTAATAATAAAAAGTAATTTGAATCCTCGAAATGAGGAAATACAGCATTAAAAATTTTATACAGAATTTATATGATTATTCTACATTTCACCAGATAAAATATTTACTTTGCCTTGAGCATTTCTTGTCCCCCTTAACAAAAATTAATTACCATAATTTTCATGTGGACTTAACTTAAATATTTCTTCACATCCAGTCATAATAAATTTCACGTATGCTTTAATTAATTGCGTGTTTAAAGATCAACGATTTTGTTCCAAGTCAATTTGCATAAATTTAGCTATATCTTTCATTTAATTCTTCATTAGATATCGTGTTATAACAAACATGTTTTCTAAATGTTGATCGATATAATTGTTGTGTACACATGATAGAAAAAAACACGCATATGTTGGCATATATTAATATGTTTTGCTGCCATATAAATTGAAGAGCAATGTCGAGAAGAATCTAGATTTTTGCATAGATTTAGTAGGATATCAAGAATGTTGACATAATTTCACGAAATTATGCAAATGCATATATTTGTCAACTATTACGTAAAAGCATTTCTAATGACGCAAATAGAAGATTTAGTAACATACCAAATTAGTTTATTAAAAATTCAGTATAAAGATATAGATTAATGACACGGAATACGCAAATGCGATCAAGAATGCTCAATTAATTTGCAAAATATTTTTATGGTAATAGGATATGATTTTAAAAATATTTTTCATACCATTATTAAACTTATTCAAACTCATGATAAATCTATAGTTATCTATCTTTGCTTTAAATAATATTATGCTATAACAAGATTGAAGTTAAAACATGTTATTGAAAAATATGCGTATTTTATAATTTTTCAATAAATATATAACAATATTGTTAATACAAAAATCGGCCAATTACAATAATATTGTCACGATTGAGCGATATGTGAATTTCCATATTGGTTTTTAAACTATTGTATTGAATCTTTTAATTTCAAAATAATATATGGAATATTTTGATCACAGGTATTTTTTGACCAATAATACAATTAATTGATTTCAAATATACCAATCTTTATTTAATTTCTGCTCAAAAAACACAAATAACAATTACATAATAAATATTTTTTATAAGTTTTTACCAACCCGTAGGGTAAATTATAGTAATCGCAAAAAAATCGATAATTTTCATATATAATGTTTTCTGACATTGTGACATACTTTAAAAATTGATGTATGTGTGTTTGTGTGCGGATACAATTTTTTATCGACGATTTTGAGAGCACGGATTAACCGATTTGAATAATTCGAAAGACATTCGATTCCTATTGATGAAGAGAGGTGCTGATTTGTTTGCGATAAGTTTACGACACCATGCCATTATACCACTATGCCAGTACCACTAAGTGAAAAATAAATTTTATTAACCTTTTACAAGTTTTAATCATCCATAATTGCGACTGGGATAGTACAATGCACATTGCTCTTCTCCATGAACTACTTTATAAACTTGATAATCAATTGTTTATTTTCTATCAAAAATAAACGAATTAACAATGCGTTGGAATTGCTCATTGGAACGAAATCAAAATAGTATTGTCTTGCACCTTCCATTATTTCTACAAATTCAAAAACAAATTCTATACTCGCGTCGGTGCATTTTTTTTGTTAAGATTTATGGTCTACTTGACCCAATTTTTTAGTATCAAAATAGATCGATTATAATAGGTGTTTAATTTATACGTACATTAATTAGCAAAAAATTAATGGTTGAAATAAAATGTGGAATTTCTGACTTTTTTTTATGTTTTGATATATTTGAAATTAAAAGCTTAAAAATTTGGAATTTGATACGATTTTGTCAGGTTTTCTTCATTGTTTTATGCTGTCTGTCACTAAGCTGTTGCTTTTTAAAATAATAATAATATAATGGTCTTGAACTTATTTATATGAAATAACTAAATATACAAATAGTATCAGATAATGAAAAATTAACATTAAAAGTTAAATTTATCAAAAGTATTCAAGTCTGCATAATATGTATTAATAAGTACAGAAGAACTGCAGAGGTTTACAAAATACTATATCCTCATGACTACCTGCGTGTACGAGTGTCGTCTATAGTCGCCTCGCAGATTAAATTATTGAAAGTTCTAATTCGTAATTCATTTTTATAAATAAATTAAACCTAATAAATTTTTATGTAGAATTTTAATTTCCTGTAGGGTAAAATGGATGTATGTGTGTGTGTATGTATGTGTAGATACAATTCTTCGTCGACGATTTTGCGAACACGGATCAACCGATTTGAATGATTCAGACAACATTCGATTCCTATTGAGAAGGAGACTTGCTGACTAGTTTTTTTGGCAAAGGCAGGTCTAGCCAATTCGAAGATACGGAAAATGTGCCAAAAATGGTATTCCAGTTTTTGAGAGAACGGAGCGTCTGATTTGAATAATTCAAAAAACTTCAAAGTTTTGAAGAAATTTTAATGTTCTTTTTAAAAATTCAGTTTTTTAGTACGAGAATTTCCGAATTTCGGTACGCGATTTGCTTTAAGGCACATTGCCATGCACCACTAGTTATTAATAATAAATGAAAAATCTTAAAATATGTTGTTGTGCCTGTAATGTTCCTAGTAGTAGCGCTACTAGGCGGCTCGCTATTCCGTACAGCAGTGTCACTTCTGTTAAATTTAAAATTAACTGAGAAATTTATGATGTACAATTTTTGCGTGCAATTATGAATTCATACACACACCAATAATAATTTACAAATGACTTTTATAAAATAAACTGTTTTATGTGTTAAACAACGGTGTTTGGTGTTTATCTTCGTGCTTGGATACTATCGGTCGGATGAGATCGAAAGCGAGTGCAGATAAATAACGTATTTTTCGAATAATCAGAGCAAACATTTTCTCGGTTAATTTAAAACTCGCGGGTAATTCGAGTCGTAAATGACATTACGGTATATGAAATATTACTTCAGCTTCTGCTGCTGCATTACACGCTGGTGTAAACACGAGATTAATTAATTCCGAGGCGAAATTATATGAATTTCCTGCTTTTTTTATTTTTATACTTCAGATAATTAGGTAGAAAAAAAATTGTTTGGCTTTTAGAACTTAATGAAGATAGATAAAGCAGCTTTTGTGTGCAAGCTTTGTACTACAATATTTTTATTTATTTTAATAAAAAGTTTTATGTAAAATTTTCTCTAATTTAAAAAAAATGACAAATACCGTTTAATAAAACTCACTACAATTTTATTTTACAAACAAAAATTATGTTCCATTCCAACATCAATATGCTAACTTTACAAAAAGTATAACATGTTTCTTCTTATATTACGTTTAACTTCGCTCTCTAAACTTTTAATCTAAATTCTACACCAAAATTTGATATTACACAAAAATATATATGTATGTTGCTAATTTAGATTAAAATTTTATAATAATTTTTATAATTTATAGGATAACATTTCAGATTATTCAATAATTGCTTATGAATTTGTTGAAGATGTATGTGTGATCAGGAACATCACGAACAATTGCAACACGAAGCAAATTCATAGGCTCGTCGCACATAATACGCCAAACTAATAAAAAATAGTAATACATATATAAACCTACCTGTGCATCACATTCAAAACTCATAGTGCCCCTCCATACATGCATACAAGCATTATGATAGTAGGGGCGCTAATACCCTAACAAATTATAACAAGAAAACTTTTTATTATGTACCGAATCTAAACCCTACGTTGAATGAAATCTAAAATCAATTATGATGACTGCTTCTGACCCTAAATAATTTTGAAATATACTTTTGAACTAAAGAAACTATGTCGATTTTTATATGCATACAACTATCGACTTACCTATCCAATTATTCA